GAATAAGTGGTGACATTTGCTCCTCTTAAATTAAGGATTGAAATTAGTTTGCTGAATGCTCTTAAGATATCTTTTGATGTCAAGATGACTTTTGAAGTCAAGATGAATCTACATTTTAAAAGGCTACGATGAAGAGCTGAAATCCTGTAATGAAGCAATGAGCATTATGATCAATTATCATTTTAAATCGGGATCCAACACGTTCAAATGAAAATTGTATTTAAAACACTTTAAACACACTGACAGTCATACATCAAAGGTATTTATAGAAGAAAATGCAGATTTAAGAAAAGAAGATTTCAATACATTTAGGCTCTTTTCTTTTGGAGAAAGTAAATGATGTTGGATACATAACAGGTGTTTTTTCCCCCATCCTGCTCCCTAGTGGCAAACAGAGCAGTAAATGAGATGTTTATATAAGAACAATGAAAATATGAATGCTATGATCCCATCTCTGCAGATAAATAAACTGATAAATAATGTACAATGTGCATTCTTCCTATCTTAAAAGATTCCTAGACTGACTCGCTGGCCTCATTTGAAGTTTTCCCCCAGCTCACTGGGGGACTGCCATGTCTCTATAGAGACCAAAGTCTCATGCTCATTCTCTAATCGCACAGAGGCGTATGACCCTGAGGATGAGGAGAAAAGAAGAAGAAATTACTTTCATTAAGAAATTCAGATTTCTTCCATCCTTTTGATCTTGTGCCAGAAGAACATTTATGCTGATGAAATGCATAAATAAAGTTCTTAAATTATCCCGGCTCTCTTTAGCGCATGGATCCAAGTTGGAAAACTTCCAGAGGAAGCAAGTACAGTACAATCATTCTGAGAGCTGATCAGTGTAGTGGGGGTGATTCAAGAGATGGCCTGAGTCACCGATACTTCAACTGATTCATCTGTTGAGGAAGTACACAGACAAACATAATAGTCTGATGCTGTTCTTTGGAACAAAGGTTAACTATTGCTTTGCTGCCCATTTCCTATCATTTGAAGTTCAGCTGAACAGAGCAAGTGAATTAAATATATGAACAAACTCAGTTTGTCTCTCTCAGTACATTGCATTGTGGCTTGAAGCACAGGGAGAGAACACAGTCAGGCATCAGTCATCCAGTGACCTTAAAGAGACAGTTCACCCAAAAAAAGAAAATTCTGTCATCGACTCACCCTTATGGCATAATACAATTACATTTCCTTTTTCTTTGGGAGAAAAAAAGAGATTTTGAAAAATGTCCATTTAATAAAAGTTGCATTTGGACCTCAACATTCTTCGAAATATCTCTCTTTTTTTCCACAGGAGGAAAAAATGCATACAGATTTGAAAGAGGTTTACATTTTTTGATGAGCCATCCCTTTAATATCTGGAACGAAAAAACAGCAGCTGCTATGGTGTTGAAATGTATTATTAAAGATTTATTATTTCCAATTTGCCTATGCTCCCCTGAATATTCAGTGATGATTCTGTGAAACTGTGCCCTGTATTGAACTCCAAGCTGGCACCGTGCCCCAGTTGCAGCGGTAAGTGTAGATGATTTAGTAAGGGTTTACTGAAAAGCTGTAGGAGTGGTAAAGGTGGTTTTGGCTTTGGTGACAGTCCTGGAAATTTCTCTGATCCATTCTTGAGCAGTGGGCAACCAAAAAAGTCAGTGAAACCTCAGTGTTAGCACTAGTGGTTATAATGTGGAGAATTTGGCATTTCCTACAGTATCAACTACCAATGATGCAACATAGGCTGTCAAATAGTCAAAATAAATTTCACCAGCCAAAATATGAAAAAACATAACCTCTGTTTTTTCTTGAAATGGCTGACCTAAAAGCCAATGTGAGATAAAAAGTTACATGTTAGATTTATGGATTGGCATATTTAACAGAGCGAAGCTTTGTGTCGGGGTCCCGATCAACCAGGGTTTATTTTGAGAGAATGATCAACTGGCTGTACAGTAACCCATTGATTACATGGCTACTTCCAATTAAATGAATTCATGGACATGGAAAATGAAATATTAGGTTCATAATAAAAATTGTGCGGTCAGTCATACCGTGTTGCCCTGATCAACAGTCATTATTAAGAAGTATTTGACAAGTGAATGCCACAAATGACCAATCTGAATCAAGTATTTCAGAGAGCCGTCTAATAAATCAATATACATGACACTTTGGCAACTGCATTTGTTGTGAAGTGTATTCAGTACTCATCAGAAAAATCTGTTTATCAAAATAATCTGTTTAGACCAGAGATGCCTAAATAAGGGCCTGTGTGATGACCTTTAATTTGGCCCGCCATGCCATTGAAGCATATCTCCAATTTGTTTTAACATTTTTTTGTAATATTTTTTAATTGAAATGTAGTGAATATAACGCAAGTGTTTAAAATACTTTAAAAAAAATAGTTTTAAAGTACATTTGATTATAGTTGGATTTAGACCATTTAATTTGGTAAACAAATCTGACCAATATTAACAATATTCTGGATTTTTTTAAATTTGCATTGTCTGTATAAAAGAGAAGAACACTAAAGAAAGTGCTGGCTCAGTAATACAGTGGTTTCTTAAAAGGGAAATACGGAAACACTACGGCCACAACAGAATTGTAAATAGGCTACACGTGCCAGTGAAAATGGAAATAACACAAGTGCAAACGGGAAACAATGATGAAATAAAAGGCAGTTTGAGGAATGGCCTGGTTTCTTTGTGAGTTGGGCTACTACTTATTTTTAGTGCTTACCGACTCAGGGTTTCAAAATGTTATACTTATTACAGTAAAGATTGATCAAACAGAAATGGACTTTTCTGCACTTTTGCTTTTGTCAACTTAGACAAAATGTATGTGGTCCATCCAATCTATATAAACACCACAATCAAATAAAGAATCCTTTTATAACAATATATCATTTTTTTTACAGAGCCTGCTCTCTTACATATAAAGAGCCATGGTTGAGAAAGGTCAGACCAGGTTATTGGTGGCTGAGTGTGAACTAATTTGATTGACAGGTCTTCCAAATATGTGGCTGTCATAAAGGTGTGAAAGAGTTTGTGACATCACAGACTTTAGCACTTTGTGATGGTATTTATTTAAAATGTGTTTGTGGATCTTTCTGGACCCAACGAATGAGTCAAAATCTGTCTACAACTACACCATCTGTTCTAAAATGCATCTTTCTCCATCGGTGGCCAATGCAAAATTAGCTGTGTACAAACTTGTGTACAGAATGGGAATGCTGATAGCCAGCTTAGTCCATCCATTACAGACCTCTACTTAGAGCTGCTAACTAAATGAATTTAATAATACTCTACTACTTTTAATGTGATCCCTTTTCGTTTCCTCACACAGAGTAGTTCAAAAATCTGCTTTGCAAAACTTGAATAAAAAAATAATGACAAGCAAAATATGGTTCTCAAAACTTTCCATGTCTACCAGCACAGATGTTGCACAACTCTCAGATGTGGGAAAACATGTCCAGAAAGTTTGTGAATTTTTATAAGAAACTCCCACCCTCTAGTTCAATGAGAAATGCTAATTTTCATGCATTACTGTAACTGTCACTAATTTCTGCTTCTCTTACTGTTCGCCTGAAGAAACGAGAATTTTCAACAGATATTTCAGCAACAAAAAACAAAAAGGGAAGGTGGATGGTGGAGGGAGAAAAAGGAGGCCCTGATTTGCTTTCCAATCTACAAAGGAAAGTAATCCTATCTGGCAGTTTAATGTGATTTTAATACTCGTGTTACATCTCAAGTGTGATTTGCCCGTGTGAATGCTTATCAGATGGATGAGATGAAGTTGAACGTGACGCTTGGTCCTTTGCATGCGAGGCCACTGTTTGTCTAATCTTTCTGCCTCTTATGGATTTGACTACCGAGCTAACAAGTGTGAAGCAGCTCATAAGGGAAGAATGAGCAGTGTGACAGGAATAGGTGAATGATTATGAAAAGAGTAACGGTTTGGGTAACATTTCTGAAAGAACCTAAATCCAGGTTTTACACAGAGCCAGATGCTCCTGGCAGATCTTAGACAAGTCCTCAGAACACGGAGCTAATGAGAGCTGAAGCTAGCTTCATATGAAGACAAGGAAGCTCGAGCTTCAAAGAGCATGCAAACTACTGCCGCTGAAATATTTCCTCTTAGATATGTGTGTAGAAATGTGCAGAGCGACGAGTAAATAACAGTATGATCAACAGGTTGCAATGTGTCAGTGTATGTATATTTATATATTTATTATTATTTATGATTTGACGTTCATGTACACAACCTTTTTGAAACGTTTGGGGTCAGTAAGATTTCAAATACATGCTGTTCTTTTGCACTTTCTATTCATTAAAGTATCCTAAAAAATATCTATCATAGTTTCCACAAAAATATTAAGAAGCACAACTGTTTTCAATACTGATAATAAGGTGAAATGTTACTTAAACACCAAATCAGCATATTAGAATGATTATTGAAGGATAAAACGACACTGAAGTAATGGCTGGTGAATATATAAAAAATTGTAATAAAATGTTTAAAATATATTAAAATAGAAAACAGTTATTTTAATTTTTATTTTTGATCAAATAGATGCAGCCTTGGTGAGCAGAAAAGATGTTAATTTTTTTTAAATAAATCTTACCAACGCCAAACTTTTGAATGGTAGTGTATACATATACATACATACAGTATAATATTTATTTCAGAGCTGTGGCAAAGAGGGTAGTTCTTTGCACATAGGGAGCAGTTGTGCTACAAGAACCCCAGGTTCGAGTCCTGCCCGGGTCATGTTTCAGATGAAAAAAACAACAACTCAAATCTGCACCTTCCTACGCACAGTAATACAGCCAAAAAGCCAAATAAAACTCACACAAACATTCATCAACATTAGAAAGAAATTACAGTAAAAATGATGTACGTATGCACCAGTTGTGCGCCTAGTAAATATTTTGCGTGACTAAAAAACGTAAACTCAACTATTAGTGTACGAGACCCAGTGTGTGCATAAAGAGTGTTCAGCAGATCACACTCACGACATAGCAGGGTTCGCAGTAAGCCTTCTTTTCCACGGCATAAAAGGGCTTCCCTCTGAGCTTGGAACCACAGGTCATGCAGATGAAGCAGTGCACGTGGAAGACCTGGTCCATGGCGGTACAACCCGTCCCTTCACCGACCACATTCTCCCCACAGCATGCACACCGACCTGCAAAATACAGCATTGGAATTACTGTATGGATGCTGATGGCAAATTATATAAACTAAACAAAATAATAAAAAAACAACAACATGGTGAGAGATAAAAAAAAGAAAATGTAGAAGTAAAGGTTAAATGGATAATATACATATAGTGTAAACAGCATCATTTGCCATTTTCATAAAAAAAAAAAAAACATTTTAATTAAAAATAGCTATTTCAAGTGGAGATATGGGTTATTCACCCTTTGCTCTCCTCCAAACCACACGGTTTCTGTGTCTATTTTTTATTTTATTCTTTAAATCAGATCAGATGTTTCAACTCTAAAGCAGACTAACACTTCAGCTTTCAGGTTCAGAGATAATCTCGAATAAACAGTGTGTCTGTCGCCTCTTTCAAGCCAACTCTTCTTTGTGGTACAACCAATGATAACATAATCTACTCTACTGAGTAATTGCACGTCTCACGGATAAAAAGAATTAAAAGACTCAATGTCAAAAGAAACAGAATATGAGGAGCATTTCTAAAGTTAGGTTGATACCATCTCCAGGGAATTTACCCCTTTTAAGTGTTTGGATTTTTTTTCCTTTTTAAAAAGGGCAAAGTGATCGGTTGCCCTACAATTGTAGAAATCTAAGGCGCTTAATAAGGTCAGTCACTTAATAGAGACTGAGCTGATTTTTTTCTCTTTGTGGAGAGAATGGAGATCAATGCCTCATCGCTTGCGCAAATACCACCCACCATCTGTCAACTCGCCCATCACAACATGCTAAAACACATGAAGCTTATCACTCAGACGATGTCAGATGCGTAAAGAGTAGGGATATCTCATATTCAATTTAAACACTAATAAAATCCATCACATCTCTCTTCAGACCAATCTTTCCCCTAATAGCCACATATAATGTCCCCGCTGGAATGAGAATAAGATTAAACACATTGGCACATTGACACACACACACACACACACAATCTTTTTATGATAAAACGAAACTGGAAGTGGAAAGAGCACAATCTTTGTGTTATAGGGCATCTGCTATTGCACCCAAAAAAGATCCTGATTGCATATTGTGTGACACGGCATTTGGATATCTGTAATTGAGTTGAAGCTATCTTTAATTGAGCTTAAGATGTCTCCAACTCAATGCAAAGATATCTTCAAACCAATTAATGACGCTAGCAGTTTAATTAGCAGTATCAGGAAATAATGCGCTTTAGAGCCATATCTTGTGGTGTTTTCCTTTTTACACATCTGAGGACAGATACGATCTCCAAAAAAAGAGAATGTGAGATATTATGAATTAATTTACTTAACTTTAGTTCTGTAGTTCCTCATTTTTCTTTTCTCTTTCTTTTGTGCTTCATTTAAGCCTGTTTTTAGAAATGATACACTCTCTGACTGCAATGAGAGCCAGAGTTCAAGCTTGTCACAGACAAAAGGCGAAGCAGCGAGCAGGAGAAATATCAGACACGCTCCCATTTTCACTGCTGAAGCTGTCGGCGGCATCAACAAAACAGACTGAACTTTTCCGCTCTTCAGATTAGATATCAAAGCTGAGCTGAATATGAGCACCTCTTCTCAACAAAGTTTAAATCGTAGATAATTCTCCTCGTGTGTGTGGATTAGCACGGGGATATCTGTTCAGCTCGATCGATGCATTGCAAAAAATCGGTACTTTTATCTTGTTTTACAGCTAAAAAATTTGAAACATTATTAAATAAGATAAATTTACTTAAGATGCAAAACTGTGAGATTAAGAGAATACATTCTGAAATAAGTTCTTACTACTGTAAACATGGGGGGGATGATATTCTCTAAAACAAGTCATACCTTGTCAAGCCTTGACCTTGATATTAAGCTATGTTGCTTTAAATGTACACTACCGTTCAAAAGTTGGGGGTCAGTATGACTTTTTTTTTTACTTTTGTTTCTCATGAATACATTGAATTGATCAAAATTGACTGGCATGTTACAAAAAATTATATTGCAAATAAATGTTCTTTCCATTCATTAAAAAATCCTGAAAATCATGTAGCACTGTTTCTTCAAAAATATTAAGCAACACAACTGTTTGCAACTGATAATAATAAGAAATATTTTTTAAGCATTAGAATGATTTCTGAAGGATCATGTGACACTGAAGAGTGGAGTAATTGCTGCTGAACATATTAAAATAGAAAACCGTTATTTGAAAGTGTAATATTGTTACACAATACTACTATTTTAAATCAAATACATGCAGTTGTTATGTGCATTTTTTAATTAAAAAATTAAAAAACAAAATTCTACCAACCCAAACATTTGAATGGTAATAAGAGTATTATTCTTGTTTTTTATCATTTAAAAAAAAAGTGTGTGAAGATAAAAGTGCTTTACGGCTGATTTTGTAGGTAGCCATACAGACCATTACTTTAATTAAAGGCACTGTGAAATGATCCGGCATGAGGTTTCCATGAACTGTCACACCTGTCTATGAAACAGCAGCATAATAAATGAATGTCATGTTGATAAATAATTACCACTTAGCTCTATGTTGCGTGCCCCATGTTGAACTGTCACTAAAACTAATGTGAGCTACTTCACTGACACTGATCTCTAGATAATTCCCCCTCCATCCCGCTGAGCTGTACCTGCAGCAGGGTTCCGCTGAGGAACAGCACAGAGCAGGCGGAGGAAATAAAGTGGAGCCGTCTGCCTGCCGCAGCTCCCCAGGGGACCTGTGGGGGTGGGAGGAATCCCAGGCAGAGGTAATCACTTCAGATGGGCTGAAACAAGAGTCGCACTGGATCACAGGCCCCTCTGAGCCAAACCAGTGTGTGAGAGAGACAAGCACAGAAAAAGAGAAGAGAGAAAGTGAGAGTGGGGAATACAGCCAAGGGATGAGCGCAGGTCACCCTCAAAGCCTGAGTGGAGGAAACCGTTCGGAAATCTTCTTTCCCCTTAGTGGGGTGGGAATGCCTTGGACTCTCAGGAGGTACAAAGAAATCCTCAAATGCCTTCATAGGTCACTTTTGTCAGGCGAAGGACCAGTTCAACAGAAAATCCAGACCACCTAACACTCAAAACAATTACCTAAGTAGTGTACTAACTATCCTTATACCCTATGGGCCCTATCTTGCACCCGGCGCAAATGACTTTGTACACTGACGCATGTATCATTCCTATTTTGCACCCACGCAAAGCGGGCTTTTCCCTCCACAGACGCACGTCGGTAAACTAGGAAATGAACTTGCGCTCCCTGGGCGGGTCGGCGCAAAAAGGAGGCGTGTTTCGGCGCAAACATTCCCTAGTGCTATTTTGCAGTTCCAGAAAACAATTCCGCCACTGACCAGAAAAAACCTAGTGTAAAGTCAGTGGCGCGTTGCGCGTTGTTCATAATGCTATGTTAAGCTCGCATGCTTGGCCATAATGTAGCGGGTGCACAACGCACATACACTTTGATTCTCTCATCAACACAGATGCAGCAGTTTTTATTTTTGCAAATCATACATTATAACAAGGAAAAATATTAACACATGAGGGAAATCATTGTGGTGTCCATGAAGATGTAAAAAAATGTAGGCCTAAATCTAGCTTACACATTTACCCAAATTTTTCAGGCTAATTGTAGTAATGACGGATCAGATCTGTTTTCCCAATAGTGGCAAGACACATATGTAGGCTATATAAGGACATCTGACAAAATTAGTTTGTCCGTCAAGAACCAAAAAAAAAAAAAACTCCCATCCCCATACAACGCCACTTCTCTGTCTTTCACTGCCCTGACAAGAACGTCGGTCTCCTAGGCGGCTGTGAACCGCTCCTGGCGCGCGCCTGGTAAATCCGCCGTTATAATAGCAATCCGCCATGCAACATGCGCACCTGCTCTTAAAGGGTGTGTTGGATGACGCTCTGATTGGTTTATTTCACGTTACGCCCAAACCACACCTATGAATAATGAAGCTATTTCAGACCAACCCCTTTTAAACTTGCGTCGGGCGCAAGAGTCATTTATGCCGCCGGTAAAATAGCAACAGCGCCCAAGACCCGCCCACAAAGGTACTTGCGCTTCGCGCTTGATACTTGCGTTTCAGATCGTTAAAATAGGGCCCTATATCTTAAATAAAAGATACACTTTTACAGATACATAACTTTGCCATAATTAAGTTGAAAACTAAGCTTAGATCTAATGAAGTTAAATTACCTGAATATTTGTCACCACAAGCTTAAATATGCTGACAAATAACCATCAGTTATGTTATTGTCAACAGACTATACACATTATCACAAAATTAGAGTTTACAATTGTCACAGTTAACATTAATCAGCAACATAAGATTAGTTAGAGCTTTAAAAAACTAGGGTCTGAGGAAGGGGTTCTATAAAGGGTCTGCAAAAAATGTATGTTTATTTTTGGGCCTGTCATAGTTAGTGTATTATCTTAAGATATCCACTCAGTGTTTAATACACTGATTTTGATATATTTAGCAAATTTCATATTACTATTTTTTTCAGCTTTCTAGAAATACAGAGATTAAATCACAATTATTTTATTCTATTAACAGCCATTGTTTTTACCAGCAAGAAATCATTACATTAATATATATATATATATATATATATATATATATATATATATATATATATGTGTGTGTGTGTGTGTGTGTGTGTCATTAGAGGATTGTTTGGTCACACTTTGGTGATGATTATTGGTCACACTTTAGATTAGGGTCCAATACTCACTATTAACTATGACTTTTGCCTCAATAAACTCCTAATTACTTATTAATAGTTAGTAATGTAGTTTGTTAAGTTTAGGTATTGAGTTGGAATTGGGTAGGATTAAGGGATGTAGAATATGGCCATGCAGAATAAGGCATTAGCATGCGCTTTATAAGAACTAATACATAGCCAATATCCTAGTAATACGCATGCAAAAAAATTAACTAGTTAAAGCTGCTGTAGGTAACTTTTGAAAAATTGTATTTGCTAAAACTGTCATTATGTCCTGACAGTAGAATATGAGACA